TCAAGAGCCTGGTGCTGTGATTCGTGATGTGGCCTTGCGAACAGGGACTCTGCTCTCCACCACCAATCTCAGAAGGCTGGGATTTTCTTCCCCTTGTTTTGTCTTTTTAATGTGAGGCTTCCTCCGGAGTTGTGGCCATGGCCTTGGGGTGGTGCCCAAGGAGAGGGGGTAGAGTCCAAGGGACCCTCCTCAAGCAAGGATTCACCCTCCAGTACAACCTGGTAATACCTTCATTTTTCTGAGCTTGGCAGGACGATTTCCCTGTGTGACTTTTGTGATTTTCGGGGCACTGGTTCTATGTTGGGTGTCTTAAGGAAATGACAGGCAGACTCTTATTGGCATAAAAGCAACCCCCGGTTTGCACTTCTGTACTATTGTCTGGCATGCCTTAAGACTTCATGCGAGGTACAGCAACTAGATTTTATCTGATCTGTTAACGCTAGTCAATTGGTGATTTTCTGGTATCCTTCAGGATTTGGAGGCCCTACCCCAGTGCTTAGGAAGGACGAGAAATGCCAGGATTGATTAGCCATGCCTGCCACAGGTCTGGGTGGGAAGAGGGCAAGCAGGTCACATATAATGTCTTCCTGGTGTCTAGCTGAATGAATGAAGTGGCCCAGCATCTCGGAGCCAGCACTTGGCAAGAATGAGCTCTGGGCTCTCTGACTTTTCTATAACTTATGTCCTGAAAGGCTCTGAGTCATCAGAGCCTGCTTAGCCTGGCAGCTCAGAGCTTAGGCTCTGAGGCCAAACCTGCCTGGGTTCACGTCTACGCTCCAGTTCACAAGCTGGAAGGCGACAGGCCAAGACCCGGGCAATGAGGGGCCTTTCAGCTCTGATAAATAAATAAGGTATGCACTCAGCAATTACAACGAATCTCCCAAAAAGATCACTGAATCCTTCTATCAAGGGACTAACGTAACGCTTCATCAGATCCCAGTCATGCTGGCGACTACCTCACGTGGTTGCTGTGAAGATTAGTCCTTCCAGGTAAGGTGCTGGTCAAAGATGGCTACTGTTTCCATCAGCATCTGTTCTCCTCTGCTCTACAGCCTGACCTCTTCCTACGGGAAGGTCACCAGGCTCACCCCTTCGAGGCTGCACTGCTGGGACCTGTCACTGCTTCACTGGTATTGACCATGTGCCACTCCCGGGCTGTTCTCCCCACTGCCTAGACTTCACTTCCCTGATGACACCGGGTTCCTCATGTGGAATGCTAAGCCCTTTACGTCTGCATCTGTCCATCTCACAAATCTTTCACCTAGTCCATGAGGGGGCTGTAAGACGCCCATTCTGTGGATGAGATGTGAGAGCTTAAGTGACTTGCCTCAGGTCACGTCAGGAGTAGCAGGATTAGGATATGAACTCTGCTGTCTCCTTGATATCATAGTTTTTTTTCCTCCTGATCAAATATTCCTTGGGTCAGGACCCCCTTCTTGTTTCCACCTGCCTTTTCTTAGAAATGAGCTTGTTTTATTTGATGACATGCACACCATCAACAGGCCAAATTCTGGGCACTGAATGATTTAGATCTTGTCAAGGACAAGACCGGTGTTAAAAGCCTGGAGGACTCTGGGCATCTGGGAGGCCAGTCAGCCAGGTCACACCTCTACTCTCTAGGTTTGCAAGCCTGATGGTGGCTCTCAACTTAAGTGTGAGCAATTAAAACGAGAGAGATTGTCCTTCCACAGAACACGATGGACCTAAACGTAGCTCCCAAATTGGCCCTAGAGCCAGAAATTTCAGGAGTGCTTGGGTTCTTCATAGGTTCTGCCCACCTGGCCTCTCATTCTAGGCCAGTCCCCGCCCTTACCCCCTCCTTCTCCGTCTAGCTTTAGGAACAGTCCTTTTCCTGTCCTGTTCTTGTGGCTGAGCTGAGCACCTCCCTGCCGCCTGACTCACTAGCCCTAGTAGGAAGCTTCTCCATTCTTCTCCCTAACACCCTATCCCAGAACACAGCACACTGCATGTCTTCAGAGGTTCACCGGGGGCTGCTCTGGTGCTGGGCAGCAGGGCTCCAGACTCACACTGATGTCCCTTGTCTGACAATTCCATCTCTCACTGCTGCAGGACAGTGTGACCAGAGAAAACCCCAAAGTGACACAGATGCTGAGGGTCAGAAGCTGGCATGCGAGGAGTGGCAATGGGCAGAGGGTGCGAGCCAGCTCTCACGCTCTGCCACAGACACACAGTGTCCTCAAAGCCGAGTCACGTGGGCGCTCCCGGAGCTAGCCTCACTCAGACTTGGTTGAAATCCTAGTTTCTTCAATCCTGTAAAATTCTTCAGTGGAATTCCAATAGGCTTCTTCCAAAAAAAAATTTTGCACGTATATTTTATGATTATAATGGTTATTGCTGTGGTTATCATTATTGTTTTTCTTGGGCTGGTTAGGGTTGGTTTTAGTTGTGGTGAACTAAAAAAAAGTCTCTCTGGGGATAACCAGGTGCCTAACAAACAGGCAGGCCATGACTAGGTCCATCTGAAGAGGATTCAGGTGGAGTCATCATGTGATTCATCCCCTAAGTGACTGAGCATTTCCCAACTGCCAGGATTTTCCAACTGTACCCAACCTGGTCCCAACTCTGTCTTCACCACAAGCTACAAGTGAAGAAACCCAAACCTAAACATAGGTATGAAAGTGATCAAACGTAAAAGATAAACAGTAAAGTGACAAAAGCATAATGAACACAGATCTGATATTCAAAGGCATCTCTAACCTGTAAACACAACCAAAGAATGAAAATCCCCAAAGGAAAATGACATGCAAATAGACAACAAGTGAAAAAAACCCCTGTTAATAAGAAAATTAAAACGGCAGAAACAGGGTGTTTGGGTGGCTCAGTTGATTAAGCACCCGACTCTTGGCTCAGGCTGAACTCACAACCTGAGTTCAGCACAGAGTCTGAATGAGATTTTTTTCTCCCTCTCCTGCCCCTCCTCCCCATCTGCTCTCTCTCTCAAATAAATCTTTAAAGAATAAAAAATAAATAAAATGGTAGAAACACCCCTCTCCCATTATCACTTAGGAAAAATTTACCAGAATGATCAAGTCAGCTGTGGGTGCAGAGTTATAGAAGGTTTCTCTTGCCTGCTGCTGGTGGAAGTGTGAAGTGACGGCCCATTTGGGAGCTGTTTTCAAAGTACTGATCAAAAGCCTCCAAAATGCTGTCTTTTTAGGTAGCAATCCCAATGCCACAGTTTTCATCAGGGAAATGGAGTTGTGCAGGAAGAGAAACCTGTACTTCATTGCATTGTTTATATAATTAAAAGACCCCCCCTTTTTTTTTAAACTGGCTTTCCTTTCGGAATGAAGGGCAGTATCCCAAGTGATACAAACGAGCACTTACTGAGCACTTCCCACGGGCTAAGTGCTTTCTTCAGAGCTCTGCATGTCTGACCTCATTCCTGGAGATGCTCACCATCCAGCTGGGCCCAATGCAACAGCTACATGGCCCAGTGGGAGGACAGAGCCACACTGGTCTGGACTCCGGGTGGCACATAATACAAAACCTCTTAAGTGGCATTAGTTTTTTTAAAAAGTTTTTGTGTTTTTTTTGCCTCAGAAATCAGTGACGTCTCAGCAATGGATTAATGACAACAGGTTAGACTTATTGAGAGCTTTCTCTGGGTCAGACGCTGTTCTAAGCACTTTGCATGTATTAATACTTTTGATCTTTATCCAATCCTGTGAGGTAGATGCTATCCTTAATCCATTTTGCAAATGAGGAAACTAAGGCAGAAGAGCAGATTCATGGCTTCCCCAACACAGGAACAGCAAGTTGTGGCAGAATCAGTGATGCCCGTCAGCCAGGCAGCTGGCTCCAGAGCTCATGTTCTTACCTAGGTTAACCAGGGCTTGGCGGGAGTCAAGATTGAAATGATGCTACCAACAATGCTTGGCTTGCATCTCAGAGCTTCCTTCCTAGGTAGGCTTTCTCCATGGGTCTCCGTGGTGGCAGCCCCAAGAACATACTGGCCTCATAGCTTATCATACCATCAAAGGAGGTCTTCCCAACAGCCCCAGCTCAAGTCCCAGGGACTGTCAGGTCCTGGTATGGGTCCGGTGTCCTCTCCTAGGACAGGCTGGGTCTCATGGGAACTCTGCAGGACTACTACAGAGAGGAGGGAAAGTAGCTTCTCAGAGGAAGGGATATGTGTCCACACTGAAGACCAGTTAACTGTGACCAACGGTCAAGGTGAAAACTGGGTAATGAAATTCCTGCTACATGTCAGGTGTTTGCAAGGTACTGGGGAGCTACTAAGATATGGTTGTTGCCCACAGTCAGGTGGGAGAGCACAAGTGGAAGGAAAATCACAAGAAGCCTTTCTGGAGTCCAAGGAGAAGGGAATAACTGATTAGGAGGTGAGCAGGATCTGGAAGGCCAAGTAAGTAGTACAGAATAGTAACTACCTTCTTGAACACATATTTTCCAGGAAATAGGCTAAGCGATTGGTACACATTTATCATCACTCTGGTACCTATTGTGTCAAGATGAGGAAACTGATACTTAGAACAATGAAATACCTTGTCCAAAGACCCATCATGATGGAGACAGGATTCAAACTTTTATAAACACATTGGATGTAACCAAGTTGCTAAGGACAGCCAGCAAAGGTCATAGTCAATTTCATTTTTCCCCATAAGTAACTGACATTGAAAATGAAATCCCTTGGTTGGTAGCAATCTGATATCAGGTTATCTATTAAGGTACACAGAACACACAGTTAAGAACTTATTTAACTGGCCCCAGCAAAGAAGATGTGGTCATTAAATACTGGACTTTTTCCAACCTGCTTAAGTATCATCAATATACTGTGCGAGTAATGCCATTAAAAATATCAGGGGAAAAAGGCTAAAAGGGCTTCAGATCCAAATACAAAGACCCTGAAACCATCAAAGGGGAAACTGGATCTGACCTGAACATACTACGTATGGAAACCCTGGAGTCACTGTGATGCTCTAGGGAATATTCAGTTACAAGGGAGACCCAGCACTGACCTTCTTGCAAGGAGACAATCAATAGAAGACTGTATTTGATAGGAAGAATTCACTTCCTGTTGACAAGGCTTCTAACCCTGTACAAGAGAGAAAAGAGGGGAGGGCAAAGACCTCAGTTGGCTTTGAACTGATGAATCCTGGTTCTTGAGGAGTCTGAAAAGAAGAAAGAACAAAACCAAACAAAAAGGGAGGCATTGTGTAGAAAGGCTATATGATCTACCCAGCTGTTACATCCTTTGCTCTTACGAGTTTGCTAGAAAGGCTGAAGGAATGACAGAAGCCACCCAGCAGAAACTTGGCATTCTTCTCTTGAATACTTATTCTCTTTTGCAAATACTCATGACATATAGAAGATACCAAAGTGCTTATTAATGCAAACTTTACTTCCTGGGGTGCTTCCTAGGCTATCCACCCATGTATTCAATCCACCTCAAGCCACTCCCCCTGCTGCCCACACGCCCAGCAGAGCACACAGCTCTTTATTTGGTGCCCCCATAACCCCACATATGGTATTTCTATTACGGCCCTATATTGAAATCGACTCCTCCACTAGATTCTAACTCACCTCTGTTCCCAGCACTTTAGTGGATATGGCTGCTTAGAAAACGCTGACTGAATTAACAAAAAAGCTTCTGTATATTTATAAACACTGCACTACACTGTAGTAGTTCTCTGTGGTCATCTTCGATCCAGGAGTGCCTCAAGGGCAACGTGATCTCTTACTCATCTTTATCTATTGCCAAGCATACTAACAGTTCCCAGAAAATAGCAGGTGCTCAGTAATCATACTGCAATAGTTAAGCACAAAATTTCTCAACACATGATGCATACGGCTGGGTAGGAGAGTATAAACGGGTCTCCTGCTGGAAAAAACTTGTGAATTCGTGACATAGTCTTTCTTGGTTGATGTATGTGATGGGAAGCGGCAGTTCTCCGGGCAAGGACAAATTCGGCTCCCACGTTCCTGGCAGAGGCAATTTCTCATGAGTCGGGAGGGGGCTAACATGAACCACACACGGGCGCTCCCCACTTAAACCCCACAACAGATCCAAGGTATAGGCGGGTTATCTCCCGTGGTGCCGAAGAGGATACAGGCCCAGAGAGGTTTATCTCTTGCCCAAGCCCATCCAAGGCAGGGGCGAGGATCGAGGCTGGGCAGAGGGCACTGGGACCTGGCGGCTGTCCTTTCCTCCTCCCGGGGCTGCCTTCGGCCCTTTCAAGTCTAGCTGGACGACTCCTGAAGAGGAAAAGCAGGGAAGAAGCCGGGGTGCTAAGATGCTCTGGGCACAGAGGAGTCAGAGGAGGCTCGGTCAGTAAAGAGCCGAGGGAAACAGGCAGCGCCACTTAGCCGCGCATCCTCGCCTGGCACGCATTTGGCTGCACTGGTAAGCCTGGTCCTTCTGGGCTTCCGTAGGTCGGAATCCAACTAGGATCTCTTCCGCGGGGGCAGGGTCGTATTTTTTGAAATTCAGATTCTGTCTGTGTACTCGAAGGAGGTTGCGAACCCAACCCCACCCTAGAGTCTCACCAACTAAAACCGCGAAAAGTACATAATCCCCACTCTTCACAGCCTCACACACTTCCGTCGGAGATCCAATGGCGGAAGTTCCTGTTGTTGCGTCACTTCCGTCGCGCTTCTGGGCGGTGCCAAGATGGACGCTCCGCGGGCCCGGGAGCAGCTCCGACGGCGATACTTGTTCCCGCCGGACACCGAGGCCCCGCTGGACAGCGAGGGCTACGCCGGGCCGGGTGAGGGGCTTCCCCGGGCGTGCCCCGAGCCGCGCCGAGGTGGCCGGGGCCGAGGCGCCCGGAAACGGCCGGCTCCGCAGGTCTCCTGCAGCCCTGCCCTGGGAGGAGGAACCGGGTTTCGCTTTTCAAGGCTTGCCGAGTAGTTGTGCAAGTCGGGTATCTAGCTTCATAAAAGATTACTGGTGATCGCGTAGCCCCGCGCATCTTCATCCCAGCTGTGCTCCAGGATTCCCGGGAGACCTGGTTAACACCTGTTTGGTAATAGCCATTAAAATAAAAAATACCATCCGATTGTATTTCTAAGAATCTACCAAAGAATCATACTCGCACCACAACCCGAGGACGTATGTACGAAGGGTTTAGCCTCAGCATTGCTTGTAATAGTGAACGGCTGGCGACATCTAATTGCCCATCAGCAGAGCGCGGGTTAAACATTTGGATGTATTCATACTTGACACAGCAGGCAGACTTTTTTCTTTTTTAACCAGGGTGGATGATTTTCCAAGACAAGCGCAGAACAAAGTATGGTATGCCACCATTTGGGTATGAACCTGGTGACGTGTGATGTGTGTTCACCTGTAAATACATAAAATATGGAAGAATTCATAGTTGATACTGGCAGTTGCTTTCGGGTTGTAAAACTAGGGTTAAGGGTAGGAGAAAGAGATTTCATTTTAGATTTATCTGTCCTGCATGTTGTAAGTCAGGTGCACTTATTACCCTTTTAAAAATAAACAGAAAACATCATGCCCAGGCATGCTTATTTATAAATTTTGAGGGTATCTCCCAGAATTTGTATTATGACCATGCCTCCTGGGGATTCTGATGGTTTGCTAAAGGTTGGGGACCTCAGATGTATGCCAGTGGTTCTCACAAGAACTGAGAGGGCATGTCACTCATCTGGGGAACTTGTTAGAAATAACTCATCAGACCCAACCCCAGCCACCTTTTCTTTCAGGTTGGGTCTCAAATGGAAGAAATTTGATTTGTCCATCACCTGTCTGGACACTACTGTGCCAAGACTAGACCTCCAGTGTGCCCTTGCCACTTTTGAGCTGCCTCAAAAGGTTGTGTTTGTTTGAAATAATCAAAATATGTAGTTAAAAGTAGTATTTTGGGGGAAATTACAAGTCTGTTTTGTGCTATAATGTCTGCTGTCTCCATTTTTCTTAATTAACAAGACTAACTACTTTCCTAGGCAATATATGAAACATAATACTAAAATTCTATACTACAGGAAGGTGTCATTCTTTCCAAAAGACGATAATAACTGTAAATTTGATTTTAAAATTTGTTTAAAGGGAAAAATCTGCCTATATTGAACATGTTTTATAATAGGTTCCTATTAATTACTTCTGCATATATAAACCTATTTGCATGGTTGTACAGAAGAAACCGGTACTCTGATTGGAGAGAATCTGGGTTTTGGAAAGCTCCAGGAAATTATTTTATCTGGCTTAAAATAGCTGTTCTTTGTCTTTATAAATTTATGTTAACCTGATAAGTTAAAATCTTCCTTATTTGCAGAAACCTCTACAGCTGTTGAAAAAAAGGAGAAACCTCTTCCAAGACTTAATATCCATTCCGGATTCTGGATTTTGGCATCCATTGTTGTGACATACTACGTTGATTTCTTTAAAACTGTTAAAGAAAACTTTCACACTAGTAGGTGAGAAAACTTAATTGCTTCCTAAGTTAAACACCGTCATCTTATTTTTCAAGTTCCGTTTTGTCGGTTGAATTTTGCAAATGTTTGGAAAGCTCTTACTTTCTGCCGGGCACTGTGTTAGAGGTACTGGTGATAACAAAGGTGAATAAGAGCGTGTGTGGTTTGGACATGTACAGCAGAACGTATGAGCCTGGAAAGTATTTCATTACGCCTTTTAGCGCAAGTGTGTTGTGGGATGTAAAGGTAGTGAATTTAAGAAGGAGCTAATCCATTTGTAAAAGGTGGAAGAAGAAAGATTCTGCCTGACGGTCTTGCTGAAGATAAAGCGCCGGAGCACTGGGAGGAGGGGGTAAGGACCGTGGTGGCTAAGAACTGGGTCTCAGAGCTTGTTTTCAGAGAGTAGTTAACAGCTAACAAGGTAGCTATAGGGAGGGATGAATTAGAGTTGACATCACTTGAGGGAGGAGTTGGGATTGTCGGTCGTTCAGGAGGATTGGGATTTCTTTCATATAATCTCAGGAGCTAACATGGGGGACAAGATGGTGAATCAGACCTTAGTCCTCACTGAGCATTGGAGAGTGTTCTGGAGGCTCCCCTCCCCCATAGCAGAACAAAGAGGGGGAGATGTTGATGAGCATTGGAGCTGGCATTGGCGGGGGGTAGTTTACATAGGATGCAAGCACAATTATTGACAAGGAGCAGCAGTGTTAGAAAGGTGTGGATATGACTGTTTGATCCCATGTTATGTTCTCTTCAAAGGAAGGTTGGTGACCACTGGAGGGAGAACCAGGAGTGCATGCAGTCAGGAAAAAAAGAAGCATGTGGGACTTTAAAATATTTTTTTTTTTTTTTTTTTTTTTTAAGATTTTATTTGTCAGAGAGAGAGGGAGAGCGAGCGAGCACAGGCAGACAGAATGGCAGGCAGAGGCAGAGGGAGAAGCAGGCTCCCTGCCGAGCAAGGAGCCCGATGTGGGACTCGATCCCAGGACGCTGGGATCATGACCTGAGCCGAAGGCAGCTGCTTAACCAACTGAGCCACCCAGGCGTCCCTCATGTGGGACTTTAAACTGTGGAGGGAAAAAGCTTGTTCTGTCCTCATTCCCATGAGCTGGAGCTTTCCTTAAACACTCCCATCTTCTTGCCCATTGCCTGCCTTGTTCCCTCCTTGACTGAGTTTGGGGTGAAGAACCAGACATGTGTCACTCAGCACCTTCTTTCTCTTGGGAGCCAGCTGCCCATGGGAAGCACAGATTCTGGCCTGCTGCTCTCTGCCATCATTTACAGGGGCAGCCCCAATATGCGAGGGTCTCTAGGTTTTCACATCAACTTAGAGCCTGGCAGGTACATCTGGTCACCAAAGCCATCTTCCCGTAGCTCCATCAGTTAAAAAAAAAAAAAAGAAGAAGAAACTGACAGTTGACCTCATCAGCCTAACTCCTTCGTGTCTCTCAGTTGGTTTAGAACGTGGGCTGGGAAAAGAGAAAATGGTTACTTTGCACACTGCTCGTGGCAGCTGTCTCTTTGTTATTCAAAGGTGTCATGAGAACCTGAGGTGTGTTTGGCTAGGGTGACGGTGATGAATAAGGCATATTTCTAGACCCCACCAGTCCCTTCTGGGCCAGGACAGATAACTCAATCACACAGTGGTGCTGTTTAAGTTTATGCACAGGATTTACCTCTTTGTCTTGTTATAGGAAGTATTCTCCCCAGTTTAAGGAATTGGTGTGGTAAGGGGTAATTAGTTACACATAAAAGGTGCTGGGGGCAAGCAGGAGTAAGTGGAATGCCTCGGAGCACATAACAGAATCTGGAGCCAGGCTTTGGAACAGGAGAAGGAAATAGAAGTCCCGGGCCTGGCCTCAGAAAAGTGTCCCCTTAGAGAAAAAAGACAGGAATGGATACTCAAAGGCTGAGGACTTTGAGTAGCACTGGATTCTTGCTGAGGGCCTCCATAAGCGGTGGGGAAGGAAGTGGGGGGCTGGTAGGGGGTTGGAGTAGCCACGGGACGAGAGTGGTAGCTGAGAGGGAGTATGGGCTGCGATCCGCTTTCCTGCATACGGTTCATTCTTCCCATACTTGAGGTCATTGCTTATTTCTTGCCCTGTTGTTAGCCCAAGTTCAGAAACTCGAGGCCTTAGGGTTCTTTAAATCTGTGCAAGGTGAGGGGCACCTGGATGGCTCAGTGGGTTGAATGTCTGACTCTTTCGGCTCAGGTTATGGTTTCAGGGTCGTTCATATCGATTCCTGCACTGGGGTCTGTGCTGAACACGGCGCCTGCTTAAGATTCACTCTGCTCTCCCTTCCCCACACACCACTGCCCCAGCTCGCATGTGCTCTCTCTCTTAAAAAAAAAAAAAAAAAAAAAAATCTATACAAGGTTGTAAGACTGTGTGTTCAAAGACAGGAGAGACAGGTCAGCGGTAA